ATTTCAGACTGCAGAAGTTGATAAAAATCTTCAATTTCTTCATCTTTGGCTTTGGTGGTTGGTGCATAAATTTGAATAATAGTAGTAGTAACTGGTGTCCCTTGAAGGCATATGAATATTATCCTATCACTGACAGCATACTTCAGGACAGATCTTGAAACATCCTTTGCGATGATGAATGCCACGCCATTTCTCTTCAAATTGTCATTCCCTGCATAGTAGATCATATGTTTGTCTGATTCAAAATAGCCAAACCAGTCCATTTCAGCTCACTAATGCCTAGAATATCAATCTTTATGCGTTCCATTTCATTTGGACAATTTCCAGTTTTCCTAGTTTCATACTTTGTACATTCCATGTTCTGATTATTAATGGATGCTTGCAGCTGTTTCTTCTCAATTTGAGTCATGCCACACCAGAAAATGGAGGTCTTGTAACCTTTACTTTATCCATATCAGTAAAGGTGGTTCTCCTCTGATGATGCACCTCTTTTCCAGTCATATTTTGAGAGCCTTCTGACTGAAGGGGTTCATCCACCTGAACTGCATTGGAAAATGTTTCCAGACTATTCATAAAGTTGTGCAGTAATGTATCAGACAGTGTTTCTCTGCTATTCATAAAGTTTTCCCTGGCCAATTCTTTGAGAAGTGATGGCCTCCTCCTTCTTCCTAGTCTGTCTCAGTCTGTAAGCTGTGTTGAAATCTGTGCACCATGTGCAACCCTGCTGGCATTTGAAACACTGGTGGTGTAACCTCAGGCCTCACAACAACATGCAAGCTACCACAGTATGACAAACTGACAGACAAGTTTGTCTCCCTTAGCTGTTCGAAACCTCTCTGCTTCCTGCCTCTTCGGGGTGGAGCCTGTGTCCCTTCCCTTACCTGAGCTCCCTGCTGCTCTGTCTGGCTCTAGGGGCTGGGTAAAAGCCCCTCAACCTTGGGCTTCAGCTCTGCCTCTTGCTTCCAGCCCACTGAACCTAGAGGCTTTTCTTCATTCAGACAGCTGCTGGCTGCTGATACTGACAAGCCCAACGTTGACAAGGCACAGTCCCAATGTTACCAAACAACATGGCAGGTCATTCATTCAAGTCCAGATGAAGTTCCAAGATCAACAGGGCATGGCAGGCTGTTGAACAATGACTTGGCTACATGTAGAATTCAAGCATTCCAAAAGGCTAGAGACCAATCCCAAAGCTTTTCTTTATATACAGGAAGCATACCACATCCCTAAAGTAGCTACTCACCTGCACATGGCAGATTCCACCATGGAGTTAATTGCCAGTACCTTCATGGGGAATAACTTCCTCCAGCTTCCCAGCCACTTAACCAGGCCCAGCCAAGTTGACAACAACCTTAACTACCACACAATTGTAGTCCCAAATCACATAATTTTTCATTTATTATATAGTGATTGCCTCAAAGAGTCAATGAGAATACTTGAATAAACCCATTGGAGTAATCAAGCTGAGAAATGTTCTTATTATTGAAAGCGTTACATGAAATCACCCATCAATCCAATGTTTTTTCCACATTGAAAAAATCTGTACTGATCACTATTGATACAGAAAGATCAAAGCAGGGTCCCTGCTCTCAGAGAGATTACAGTCTAAAGGAGAAAGGTCATCTAAACAGTCAATCACAACATATATTTTTAAGTGTGTATAATAGGGGATGCTGGGAAGGTAGAGATCAGACAATACAACTCTCTGCCTGTAGTTCAAATCCTAGCCCAGGGATCCATTTCTTAGCCTGGAAATCATGCAAAGAATCTCTTCTGACCATAATGTTATGAAGCTAGAAATAAACAAGGAAAATAAATAAAACAAAACAAAACATGTAGAGCATTCTCAGTTCTGATGTGATTACATTGGAACCACTTTGATAATCCAGGAAAACCTCTCATCTGAAAATACTTAACCACATCTGAGAAGTCCATTTTGCCATGCTAAGTAACATATTCATAGGTTCTGGGATTAAGACATGAGCATCTTCGGGTGTGTGTGTGTTTGTGTGCACTATTCTGCCCACAATAATAGGCTTTCTTTGCTTTTACTTTCTATATTGATGCCCTTGGTTCACCTTGCTCCTCTCTGCTACAGTACAGACATGCCTACTTGCTCCAGCCATCTCAGTTCCATGGAGAACCATGCAACTTCTCTGACAAAGAATCAGAAGACTGTGTTACCAGCAGACCATGCCGAAGTCAAGTGCGATGTGAAGGCTTTGTGTGTGCACAGACAGGTATAGATGAATGAAAGAGTGGGTGGAAAAAGATTTCAAAGGAGATGATGTCAGATGTTGGAGGGACTGATCATTGTCTAGTGCTCTAGGTTAGGGTTCTGGGCCATGTCAGAAATTTTATGGGTTCCTTTTATATGTATTGTTTCATGAAAACAACCCATAAATTAGTTATTTCAGAATTTTTGTTTCCTTGACACAAAATTGAGAGTGATATTAACATCTTACAAGTCTGTTATATGCATCAAATGACACAATGAATATGAAAGTTCTTGTAAGTGTTATTGTTTTCCTCATTTTACAAATTAAAAAATTGGGACTTGGGGAGGTTTCTTGCCTAAGAGCATATACTATGTAAGTGGAAAAGGTGCAATTAGAAATTTGGGAATTCAAATTTAGTTCATTGACATAAAGGAAACCAAAATTATGTATGCTAGAATCTAAAATCCTGAGTTAGGTCCTATTTTGACTTTGTGACCTAGGGGTAGTCACTTAAATTTTCTGCATTTAGTTTCCCTCAATAGAAAATTGGTGGTGATGTTAAGATCTTACAAGTTGGAGTATATAGCAAGATGGCAAAATGAGTGGACACTTTCATTTACTCCCCCAGTAAATAACCCACTGAATAATGAATGGAAACAAGCACAGACTGAAATCTCAGAACTCTGATTGGCAGCAGAAATTTTGAAGAATTGGGGTGAGTTCAGAAGTAGGGGAGAGAAATGGGGATGGCACAGAAGCTAGGAGAACCTATTTGCTAACATCTGATTATTGCAGCCATTTTTGAGGGGGTTGGGCAACACAACTGTCTACAAGAAACACACCTTATAAGGAAGAAGTCAAACTATCCCTATTTGCTGATGATATGATCCTATACCTAGAAAACCCAAGAAATTCAATCAAAAAACTACTGGAACTAATTGAGGGATTTAGCAACGTCGCAGGATATAAGATCAACATCCAAAAATCAGTTGGATTC